CAACCATCTTCTGGTCTTGCAGCCTACCACGCTGTCTGTACCCCGCGAGAGCTCTCTGCCACGCCAGCCTTCACACCCAGAGCCAGCCCGAGGCACAGCCCCAGCTGTGAGTAGCCGCCCGGACCTTGGGTCTCCCCAGGCCGGCCCTCGGCAAAGGGAGCTGCTGGGATCTGGGATGCAGGGGGTCTGGACACGAGCGCCAGGGAGTGGCTGGGGCACCAGGTGGCGGTGGGCTGGGCTGGGCAGAGGGCAAGAGGGCGAGTTCTGTAGGTACCTGAGCGGGACTGGCGTCCAGATGCTTGTGACGGCGTCTGGGCGCTCTGGGGGCAATGCTGACTCCGGGTGGCTCAGGCAGTCCAGAAGCAGGCTTCCCCTGATGGAGGAGACTGGCAAAACCCATTTCTTTCAACCATCCAGTCACCCGCAGGTGGCCCCAGGAGGTGGCCTGTGTCTGCAGCTGATGGTCCCTGAATCCGGCCAGCCTTTATGTCTCCCGAGTCCCATTTGTGGGCTCTCTCCTCGGTGCAGAAATTCTGGGGCTGTTACTTCCCAACCCCACAGGGCAAGCTTCAAGGAGTCTGTGTAAACATACACTTTCTTCTAGGGAGCAAGATTCCCATGTGTGTCTGAGACACCACTCCCACCAGCCTCACCGCCTTCTACCAGGCTGTAAAAACGCCTGAGGCTGAGCGCCTCGGGTGGACCCGGGGACTGTCCAGCAGCTCTTTCCCTCACTGCCCCCAGAGGGGCATCTCCTAACTCCCCTGTCTGGGCCGGCCAGAGCCACCGTGAGCCCATGCCTTTCCCTCCCCCATGTCCACGCCCTCGTGCATGCTGTCTTCTGTGCCCTAGATGGAACCCCTCTCACCTACAATGTGGCCCCCTGGGAGTAGGGAGGCCCCCTGTGTGGACGCTGCTGCGAGGGCCTGCAGTCTGCTCTTCCCTTCCTGCTCCCTGTGTGCTCTGCTTGGTGCAGACCACAGCCGCCCTGCCCACCTCGCACCCAGTTCAGGGAGCCCTGGGGCCCCTCTGGCCCAGCCTTGCCAGTGCGAGCAGGATCTGCAGCTGTGGGACATGGGCTTCGCTGGACTCAAGAGGGGTGAGACGTTTGCTCCTGCCCTGTGATTTCACTCCATGTCTCTTTCTGCTCTAGATTTTTCTGCCTCATCTCCGGTGCCTCTCCACGCGCTGCCACCTGGTCGCAAAGCCAGCCCACCCTCAGGGCTCTGGAGCCCAGCCTATGCCTCCCACTAATTAGGCCACTCGTGAAGCTGGGCCGCTGGGGGCTGCAGATTTGATGTCAGTGCAGGCCCTGCACTTGGACACCCTGAGGGACAGCCCCCCACTCCCCACCCAGACCCCCATGCCGCGGCTGTTGTGCTGCCCTCCGTGTGGACTGTGCTTGTTAGCTGCTGCTTCTTGTAGCGTGTAGGTTTGGCTTCTTTAGGGGTCTTCCAAAAGCTTGGCCTTTGGCGCATCCACGTATGCCTGGTTGTCCGGGGTTTCTGGACAGCCTGACACTGTGTTTTCATCCGCTGGAGCTGCTCAGCCTCCTCCCTCCCTCCCTCAAGGCTGGAGCAGTTAGAAACTCTGCTGGAACTTGTCTGTAGATAATAGCACTGTAGTGCTCTCAGGGAAAGGATTTGTCATGACGTATTTATTCCTGTGGGGGCTTTTCCCTGTAACATCTTTGTCCCCCACCCC